TTGGCTTTGCAAGAGTCTGAGAACAGACTAAACTAAGAATCTAGTGCTGTTTATCATTTTACCTTCCTATCCCCACTGGTATAGCTATTGGAGGTAAGAAGATGAGGAATATCACCGCTTGTATCTTTCCCCTTGACTCAACAGTGATGCTCAAATGGAGAAGTGGCTCCAGGCATGGATGGAGCTAGTGGATGGGAGAAACTGTCAGCACTGAGATGTATGTGTGAGGATTTAGGAATTTAAACACATGCACACAAACACACACACATACACACATACACACACTTGGTGGAAGCTGGACTTTCTCTATGAGTTTATTGAGATGGAGGGAGAGTTCATTAGATGCAGATGTGGATTGAAAACTCTCTTTGTAGGGTAGATGTTGGATGGACTTCACAGATATAACCATAATCATTTATCCCTCTCAATGAAGGAGCCTATGGACTAAATGAGAATGAAAAGTTACCTAGTTCTTATGATTTTCATCTGTTTTCATCCCTCTCACATGCATATCGCCCATGTCCCATGTGCTATATTTACACATGAAGCCAAGGAGGAAAAGATGAATAAGAAACAATCCCGAATAAAGATGTCACCAGGGAAAGGAGAGCATGCAGAGTCTGAGATCTCCAGAAGCATAAGCCTGAAAATCTCGTATTTTCTACCCTTGGTATTTTGTCAAACTTTCTTGTTTCCAAGAATCAACCTCCTTAGTTAATAAAATTTTGATTCTAGGTATTAAGATTTAATCCTAGTCATTTAAAACAATCTTATGTTAGTTAAAAAGATACACACATGGGTAGGCATTTCGCTTACAAATGGATAAAAAGGAGAATCATCTGGCCACAAGTGGGGATATCACTCTAGTGTGCAACCATTGTCATAAGCAAAGTGGGACTGCATGACATATATTGCATGTGTAGAAAGACCTCTCCTGCAAAAAGGAAATAAAGTGAAAGGGGGAGTTGATACGGTTTCTGACAAAGTTCTTCCTCATCTCCAGTTTTGAGAGATTTTCTTCCAGGTAGCCAATATATCTGTGTGCAAAATTCAGTTTGTATTCTTGGTAAGCCTCATGATAGAGCCTCTTACTTTATTTTGTAATGGATTATCTAAGTCAGTTTTCCAGATAGCCAGCCAAGTTTGTCTCGTGATCTGCGTCATTATTTTCTCAAAGCTATAGACAAGATGCAACCAAGGAATAGTCAGGCCAATAGAAGCCACTTTCTGAAAAATGTTAGAATTTCTTCAGAGTTTGTGGAAAGCCTTGCAAGAGTTACGTTGATGGAAATAATTGAATAGCACTGCATCTCTTTCCTACTTCTATTTCCATCTATCTGACTTAATGGTTCTCTATATTTAGGCATCTATTTATATGATACATCCTCATGAATCTCAGTTTAACATCGTGTGGATCACGCATAAAATGACTTTAAAAAAAAACCTAGGGAATTCTCTCTCTTGCCTACATTCCAGAAACCAATGAAGCACTAGATTGCCATTCAAGTCTTTTGAAAGACTTTACATTTTCGTCCAAAGGACTTAGAAAGTACAATGTTGCTTTAAGAGCAAGATTTTGTGTCTTAGTTTCTTCATCTATAACTTGTTAAGGAATTATTAATAAGGGGGTCTGGAAATCAGTAAATGATCAATATTACTACTATGCTACTTGAAATTATCTGTGTGTAGATTCTAAAATTTTCTGTTTCCTTGATAGAAAGACAGCTGCTGAACTCATCTCAAATGGGCATAAAAGCAGTCAGGGTCAAAGGAAACTCCCCTTAGGAACTCTAAAGCTGATGTTACCTTGACTTTCAACTCCTAGGGAAGTTTTGAAGACCACCACAGCAGGACAAGTTTATGATGACATGTATGTATAAACACCAAGACAGCTGCGGATGTATTTTAGTCCAAGTCTGTTGAGACTCAGTACTGTGAGGGTTACACAGATTAATGCAGTATGACCCATTTCATTCTTCAAACTCATCTGGCAAATTAAGGCTCCTACCTAGAAGTTTATAAAAATTAATAATATTAATCAAGTTACACTCCAGTTATATCAGGAAAAAAGAAGCTAGGGAAAAATTAACATACAGTGAGAATTTACTATGCATCAACATTACAATCTACATTCATAACAATCCCACACAAAATTTATTTATTTTTAAATGTTTATCACAAAAGGATGCATATTCTTCTAAGACTAATTAGGAAATGTAGATAAACAACAATATAAAAATTCTATTGTACAATTTAAAAATAAGGCCTAAAAAACTCTTATCAGTTTTGATTAAAAATAGTTGAAACCAGAGCCACTTCAAGAATCTAAAGCATTTGGTTAGCTTTCTTTAGAAAGAGTTATCCATAAAGTTTAATGGATAGTTGCATACAGTTACTAAAATTCATTAAGCTTTTATGTACTTTTTTTTTTTTTTTTTTTTTTTTTTGACAGGCAGAGTGGACAGTGAGAGAGAGAGACAGAGAGAGAAAGGTCTTCCTTTTTGCCGTTGGTTCACCCTCCAATGGCCGCCGCTGCAGCCGGCGCACCGCGCTGATCCTGGCAGGAGCCAGGAGCCAGGTGCTTTTCCTGGTCTCCCATGGGGTGCAGGGCCCAAGCACCTGGGCCATCCTCCACTGCACTCCCTGGCCATAGCAGAGAGCTGGCCTGGAAGAGGGGCAACCGGGACAGAATCCGGCGCCCCAACCGGGACTCGAACCCGGTGTGCCGGCGCCGCAAGGTGGAGGATTAGCCTATTGAGCCACGGCGCCGGCTGCTTTTATGTACTTTTTTACATCATACATTTATTTTTTTCCCTAAATATATTACAATTTTTTAAGGTGAACAAATTTCATGTGTTTCATATACAGATTTAGGAGCATAGTAATTCTTCCCAATCTACCCTCCCTCCTTTAATTTTTTTATATTATAAAGCTGAATTTGTTAAAATATATTCACAAGGAAGGAAAAGTAATTTTCCAGTAATATTCAGGCTTTTGGGTAATACTGAGACTAAGGATATATGTAAGACAGCATTTTTTTATTTTTTTTTTTACAGGCAGAGTGGACAGTGAGAGAGAGAGAGAGAGAGAGAGAGAGAGAGAAAGGTCTTCCTTTTGCCATTGGTTCACCCTCCAATGGCCGGCGCGGCGACAGCATTTTTTTAAAGAATTATTTTATTTATTTGAAAGTCAGAGTTACACAGAGAGAGAAGGAGAGGCAGAGAGAGAGAAGTCTTCCATTCCGCTGGTTCACTCCCCAAATGACCGCAACGGCCAGAGCTGAGCTGATCCGAAGTCAGGAGCCAGGAGCCTCCTCCAGGTCTCCCACGCGGGTTCAGCGGCCTAAAGATTTGGGCCATCTTCTACTGCTTTCCCAGGCCATAGCAGAGAGCTGGATTACAAGAGGAGCAGCCGGGACTCAAACCAGTGCCCACACGGGATGTCAGCACTGCAGGCTGGGGCCTTAACCCGCTGTGCCACAGTGCCAGACCAGATAGCATTTTTTTTAATGTCTGTCCATTTAATGTTTTAAACTGTCATAGGAGGCTAAATTTGCCTTACTATTCTTGTGATAATTTATTCTTATAATTTCTTATGATAATGAAGATAATTGTGATAATTTATTATGGGTAAAATAAAAATTGTTAATTCTCTTAAAATTAGGAACATACTAATGAACTTCCTCTTGAAATAGTTTGTAGCATATAGTTGAGCAATTCGAATTAACTTTATAATAAAGCACCATGCACTCATTCAATTAATTATTTTGTGCCAGGCATTGTTTTAGCGCCTTGGATATAGCAATGTACAAAACAGGCAGGATTCCAGCACCATGACGCTTATTTGCTCTTTTGGGAGACAGAAAATAATAATTATGGGTAATTTCAAATAATAATAAGCATTTAAGGTAATAGAGTAGAGAATGACCAGACCTAGTATGAGGGGGCTTCAAAAAGTTTATGGAAAAATAGAATTAAAAGATATGCGGATGAAGACTAGCATGTAGCATAGTGGTAAAATCACCGCTTAGGACCCTTGTATTCCATACCGGGAGTGCCTGTTTCCCAGGTTCCTGCTGAGGCACACCCTGGGAGGCAGCAGGTGATGGCATAAGTATTTGAGTCCCTTATTGCCTACTGGGAGACCCAAGCCGAGTTCCAGGCTCCTGGCTTCTGCCTGGCCTAGGCCTGGCTATTACAGGCATTTGGGGAGCGAACCAGTAGATGGAAAATCTCTACGTCTTTCTGCTTTTCAAATAAAATACAAATAAATAAAATAAGAGATAATTTTACTTTGGTGCAAAAAATTTTGAAATCCATGCATATTTCCTTCATAATACGCATTTTCCATAACTTCTTAAGGAACCTACTGGGGACAGGGTAGTCAAGGGAGGCCTCTTTTGAGTTTGAGCTAATATCTGAATGAGCGTGGCAGAGATAAACAGTTTAAAGTTGTGTTGAATATTGCTCCGGTTTCTTCCTCCCTGGGACCGGAGTGCTGAGACATCCCTACATCTTCATATAACCCAACATATCTTGAACTTACAAAACCTCATTATATCACGGGCAAGAATCTGGGGCTCAGAGATTAGTGCGAAGCGTGTACCTGCCTTCACGTGCTGGTACACAATGGTGCTACAAAGACAACCATGGGCTACGACGGGGTTCGGAGCGTGCTGAGGAGGTGGTAGCCTCCACTAAGACCTTCGTTCTGCCTTCCCACCGGACCTGCCATTTCCAGTACCATGGCCCAGACCTCGGGATGAGGCTCCGAGCCCAGGATAAAGAAGTAGGCAGGACCCTCCCCCCACAAAGGCTGTTGCGTCTCCCCAGGCTTTCCAGGCCGCTAAGATGCAGCTTACAGGATTATTTCCAAGAAAGCACAGACGTACAAGCACAAGACCAGGCGGACACCATTTTTCATCTGTAGTCACGCCCTTCTCTCCTCTGCCTCCCGATTCGCGCTCGGCCTTTGACGTCACTTCCGCGGGCTCCACGGCGGGCGTCGCTAAACGAAATTACAGCTTCCGGGTCGCTGAGGCCGCCCTGCGGCGGCGCAGGATTTCAGGGTGTGCTGGTGTCCAGTCTATGGAGTCAGCGGGTGCCCGCGGCTTCGTGGAGGCCGGCGGTGGTGCGCGAGTAGGGGCCTCTGCCCCGCCAGGATGTTACCGGGCTTGGCCGCCGCCGCTGCGGCCCACAGATGTAGCTGGTCCTCTCTGTGCCGGCTCCGTCTGCGCTGCAGGGCGGCGGCCCGCGGCTCCAGTGACCGCCAGGGTGAGTGTCCCGCGCCGGCCGCTGGCTCCGCGGAAGCCCGACCGGCCAGGCCAGGCTTGGTGCTCGAGGTTTCGCGTCGGGCTGTTCTCTCGTTTGCCCTTCCCCAAGCCCCAGAACCCTCCATTCTGGCCTCCGCCTTTGCAGTTGGACCTGTCCAGTTCTCAAGGGACCTGACAGGTCTCCCTGAGCCCAGTCCGGTCCGCAGCCCTAGCATAGCCCCCGCGGGATCGTGCGGGCCCATGGCGGATCGGGTTGCACTTCTGAGGCGGACGACTTTGTACCAGACAGAACCTTAGGTGCGCCCAGGAAGTTGGAAATGGCGGAGTCGTCCAGTTTCCATGGCCCTCAGAGGTCCCTGACTCATCTTGTCCTCAGCACTGTTGGCCGCGAGTCACTTGCTCTGCCAGTTTTCCCGTACTCCTGTTTTCTTAAATGTCCCAGAAGGAAGGGAGGCGCTACTAAACGTCTTCCTTAAAAGGCGTGAAGGTATCGTGCGGTCTTTGAGCCCGGTTTTGGACCAAAACGCAAAACCCTACAGTTCGCGGAACAGTTCTTTTGGGGAAAAGGTGCCTTCTGCAGTTATAACCTAGAAGAAAGAGCTGTTGGGCAAGAATTTTCTTCCCTCTCCTTCAGTTCTTTTCTGACAATTTAAGTCGTCTCAGAATTTCCAAAAATAACACCGGACTTGTGAATTCTGCACCAGTTTACCTTCTTTTTTGCCATGGCTTGGCACTGAGAAGTGATGGGAACGCTGAGGGAGAAGACAGAACCAAACCCAAGCCTGATTTTTTCCTCCCAGATTCTTGGGGTGGCAAACAGTATTCATAGAAGCATTTAACAGAAATTTATGTTTGAAAAAAAAACTTGTAGCATGTTTGTGACCTCCCAACAGAAATCAGAAGCTGTAGTCAGTAAAGCTTTTTAAGTAGTGTGCAGAGTAATTCTTACTCTGTGCAAATAAGGCAGAATATAGTCTCCATCTTTTGTTTGTAAAAAAATAAAAGCTGGCTCTTCAGATTTCAGGCCGATTCATTTGAACTGTTCTTAGGGCTTTATGGTAGTGATAAAATTATAGCTGTTGAGTTTTCCTGTTTTGGCAATATGCTTGGTTCTGTTATGAATGAAATGAATATTTGGTTATATACTGTACTCCAAAACCTCCAAGTAAAGTTTCTAAATGAAATTCCTTCTATTGACCAATCAATTTTGGCATTTTACACTGACATTACATATAGTGACTGTTAAATGTAGCCCAAATTGCCCGTTAAATGTTGATAGAAAGGAGTTGAAATAGTGTAATTTGTAATCCCTATTCTCTGGAGCTGTCATCATGTTGAAGATTATAGGCTCCTTGTCTCATCTGTCTGTGAAGCACAGATAATATAATAATTACCTATCTCACCAGACAGAATGACTTTGCGCAGTTCTTTGGAGTGTTTATTGCTAAAATGTGTTTTCACACTTAAAAACAGAGTTTTGATATAACCATGTTTGTGAAAATTTAATTGGACTAATACTGAAACATTTTTCTGAAAAGGCAACCAAAATTATGGTGGAATTTAAAACTCATTTAGGAAAAGGATGCTATTTTGCTGGAAATATGTGAGAAGAAAAGACTATTTGAAAAACTTTTTGGGGAAAAAATCCAAAAATACATGTCTTTCTTTGTCAAGAAATAGTCTTTATGTTTCTAAAATGCCCATGTGACTAGGAGAAGCTGGTAAAGAAGAGAGAGCAACCTTGAGGAAAGGATTGCTTGATTTGAGTACTTCTGAATGAGAAATGAGAATTTACAAAGACAGAAGGGGAAAACAGTATTCTAGAGCAGTGCTATCCAAAGAATATGTAATTTTGAGTTGTCTGGTGAAAATAGATAACATTAATTTTGATAATATAATTTACCCAGTATATTTTAAAAAGTCAACAGGTAATCAAAATAAGAATTAAAGAGCTATGTAACATGGTTGTGTGTGTGTTTTTTTTTTTTTTTTTTTTTTTTTTTTTATCAAAATCTAATGTGTGAAATCCAATCCGGCGTATTTCAGTTCCAATTAAATTTTTTTTTTTTTTGACAGGCAGAGTGGATAGTGAGAGAGAGAGACAGAGAGGAAGGTCTTCCTTTGCCATTGGTTCACCCTCCAATGGCTGCCACGGCCGGCGTGCTGTGGCCAGCGCACCGCGCTGATCCGAAGGCAGGAGCCAGGTGCTTCTCCTGGTCTCCCATGGGGTGCAGGGCCCAAGCACTTGGGCCATCCTCCACTGCACTCCCTGGCCACAGCAGAGAGCTGGCCTGGAAGAGGGGCAACCAGGACAGAATCCGGCACCCCAACTGGGACTAGAGCCCGGTGTGCCGGCGCCGCAAGGCGGAGGATTAGCCTATTGAGCTGTGGCGCCGGCCCCAATTAATTTTTTTTATAACTTTTTTTTTTTATCTATTTGAGAGGTAAAGTTATAGACAGTGAGAGAGAGAGACAGAGAGAAAGGTCTTCCTTCCATTGGTTCACTCCCCAAATGGCCGCAATGGCTGGCGCTGCGCTGATCCGAAGCCAGGAGCCAGGTGCCTCCTCCTGGTCTCCTATGCGGGTGCAGGGCCCAAGCACTTGGGCCATCCTCCACTGCCTTCCTGGGCCACAGCAGAGAGCTGGACTGGATGAGGAGCATCCAGGACTAGAGCCCAGCGCCCATATGGGATGCCGGCGCCGCAGGTGGAGGATTAACCAAGTGAGCCATGGCGCCAGCCCCTCCAATTAATCTTACTTCGAGTGCTCGATATACTGAAGGTCTACTGTGTAGAGTGACTACTAACTGGAGTTAGTATTCCTAATTTTAAAGGAATTTTTATAAACCAGTGTACATTCCAGTAGAAAAATGGGCAAAGGAAATGAATAAGGAGCCAATAAAGAAGTTCAGATGATCAAAACAATGGAAACATGTTTCATATTCACTTACTGTTCACTGCCTAGCTTGGATGAGCTGTTTTTCTTAATGATGATGCTTTTTTTTTTTTTTTAAGATTTATTTATTTTACTTGAAAATCAGTTACACACAGAGAGAAGGAGAGGCGCAGAGAGAGAGGTCTTTCATTTGCTGGTTCACTCCCCAAATGGCTGCAATAGCCAGAGCTGCGCTGATCCTAAGCCAGGAGCCAGGAACTTCCTCTGGGTCTCCCATGTGGGTACAGGGATCCAAGGACTTGGGCCATCTTTTACTGCTTTCCCAGGCCATAGCAGAGACCTGGATCGGAAGTGGAGTAGCCGGCTCTTGAACCAGCACCCACATGGGATGCTGGCACCACAGGTGGCGATTTACCCACTAAGCCACAGCGCTGGCCCAGATGGTTTTGCTTTGTATTGAGGGTGCAGTAAAACAGGAATTCTATTACTACTGATGGGGAACATATAGCTGGATGATACAGTTTTTGTATTTGAAAGGCAGACAGTTTCTGTCTGCTGGTTCACTCCCCAGTTACCTGCAATGGCCAGGGCTGAGGCAGGCCATGCTGGAAACTCAATTCAGATCTCCCACATAGATAGCAGGGACCTAATTACTTTAACCATCAGCTGCTGCCTTCATGGTTGCCTATCAGTAGGAAACTGGAATTGGATCATCTGGGCACACGCCTAGGCATTCTGATGAGAATTGATGGCTTATCCAGTAGACTAGATGCCTGCTCTCCAAACAGTACTTTTGGAGGTTATTTTTTTTTTAACTTTTATTTAATGAATATAAATTTCCAAAGTACAGCTTATGGATTACAATGGCTTCCCCCCTCCCCATAACTTCCCTCCCACCCGTGCCCCTCCCATCTCCCGCTCCCTCTCCCTTTCCATTCACATCAAGATTCATTCTTGTATTTTTATTTGTTTTGTGACAGGCAGAGTGGACAGTGAGAGAGAGACAGAGAGAGAAAGGTCTTCCTTTTGCCGTTGGTTCACCCTCCAATGGCCGCCGCTGCAGCCGGCGCACCGCGCTGATCCGATGGCAGGAGCCAGGATCCAGGTGCTTTTCCTGGTCTCCCATGGGGTGCAGGGCCCAAGCACCTGGGCCATCCTCCACTGCACTCCCTGGCCATAGCAGAGAGCTGGCCTGGAAGAGGGGCAACCGGGACAGAATCCGGCGCCCCAACCGGGACTAGAACCCGGTGTGCCGGCGCCGCAAGGTGGAGGATTAGCCTATTGAGCCACGGCGCCGGCCCTCAAGATTCATTTTCAATTCTCTTTATATACAGAAGATCAGTTTAGCATATATTAAGTAAAGATTTCAATAGTTTGCACCCACACAGAAACACAAGGTGAAAAATACTGTTTGAGTACTAGTTATAGCATTAAATCACAATGTACAGTACATTAAGGACAGAGATCCTACATGAGGAGTAAGTGCACAGTGACTCCTGTTGTTGACTTAACAATTGACACTCTTGTTTATGGCCTCAGTAATCACCCTAGGCTCTTGTCATGAGCTGCCAAGGCTATGGAAGCCTTTTGAGTTCACCAACTCTATCATATTTAGACAAGGTCATAGTCAAAGTAGAAGCTTTCTCCTCCCTTCAGAGAAAGGTACCTCCTTCTTTGATGACCTGTTCTTTTCACTGGGATCTCACTCGCGGAGATCTTTCATGTAGGGATTTTATTTTATTTTATTTTATTTTATTTTTGCCAGAGTGTTTTGGCTTTCCATGCCTGTAATACTCTCATGGGCTTTTCAGCCAGATCCGCGTGCCTTAAGGGCTGATTCTGAGGCCAGAGTGCTGTTTAGGACATCTGCCATTCTATGGGTCTGCTGTGTATCTCGCTTCCCATGTTGGATCGTTCTCTCCCTTTTTTATTCTATCAGCTAGTATTTGCAGACCTAGTCTTGTTTATGTGCTCCCTTTGGCTCTTAGTCCTATCATTATGATCAATTGTGAACAGAAATTGATCACTGGGACTAGTGAGATGGCATTGGTACATGCCACCTTGATGGGATTAAATTGGAATCCCCTGGTATGTTTCTAACTCTAC